GATCACCAACCCACCACTTCGTCCAAACGCACCGTCATTGAAGAAATGGAGACTGAGATTTCATCAGATTCCACTACGACCCTCCCAAAAAAGAAGATGACTGAATCCGACCGTAAGCTTAGAAGCCAAAATAATAATAAGCCAAAGATAAATCAGACAAATCAAAGCCTATAAATACCAACGAATTAAGTAGACTAGCCAATCACAACAGCTCTGAGGAAGAACTTTAAGTAGATATATAAAAAAAAGACTATTTAAATAATCACCATGGCATTAATCCTGCAATGGAACTGTAACGGCTACATAAACAATTACGACCAACTACAATTATTACTTAAATGTTATAACCCAAAAGCCATCTGCCTGCAAGAAACCCATTTACATTCCCTTAATAACATTCCCATCCCTATCAACTTCACTTTCATACATAAAAACACATCAAACAACTCCCACGGTGGAGTAGGAATTCTAATCCACAACTCAATTCAGAACGAAGAAGTTAATCTTAACAACGATTTCGAATGTGTAGGAGTTATTATTCACTCCAAACAAAAGCTTCGTCTCATATCGACTTACATTGCCCCAAACAAGAATTTTGAACTACGAAATTTGGAAAATATGTATGGTAATCCCAATGAAAATACCATCATTGCAGGTGACTTCAACAGCTGGCACCAAAGCTGGGGATCGCCTAACAATAATAGAAAGGGATGTACGATTTTTAAATACATTTCACAATCTACCCTAATTACCCTAAACGATGGCTCCCCAACCCATTTCTCAACTCACCATACAATGACACATGTGGACCTAACAATAATTACCCCGAACCTCGCCACTCAGACCAAATGGAAAACCGATCATGAACTCTTCGGTAGTGATCATTTTCCCATCCATATTAATCTTTTTGATAATGAAAATTCCAGTAAAAGCTAAAAGATCCCCAGATACAAACTTGAAACCGCAAACTGGCCCCTCTTCACATCACTCACAGATATTTTTCACAACAAAAGGCCACCAAGCAGCCAAATAAATCAAGAAGCCGCCAACATTATAAAAATAACCCATCAAAGCGCAAGTACAGCAATCCCGCAATCAAACCCAGCACTTAATAAAAAGAAAACCGTCCCTTGGTGGAACACATCCCTCGAACAACTTAGAACCAATAAAAACCAATCGTGGTACTTGCTAAGAAGAAGTATATCTCTCGAAAACATCATACAGTTCAAGAAAAACAAGGCTTTGTTTAGAAGAAAACTGAAACAAGCAAAACCCAGCTCTCTGCAAAAGTTTACTACAGAAATAAACCCCAATTCAAGTCACTCAAAAATCTGGGCAAACATCAATACATTCTGCGGAAGAAAAACCAGAAATGATATACACTGCTTAACATCCCCCTCAGATCCATCCATAAACATTATAAATTCAGAATCCATAGCCCAAGTCATCGTCACTCACTGGTCAGAATCGTCATCGGACTCTAAATTTACCGATTTATTCCAAACTAATAAGAACAGAGTCTACTCAATGAATTTATCCCACAATCCATCACCGGAAGCAATTTCAATAGAATCTAAAATCACATTGATTGAGTTCAAAGCAGCTCTAAAAAGTCTCAATGGAAAGACACCCGATCTTGATCGCATATCATACCCAATGCTTAAAAACTTCAGTCAGCCATAAACAAGCCGGTTAATAAATTTATACAACAAAATCCTAGACAGCCACATCCCTCAGCAATTTAAAAACAGTATTGTAATACCGATCCATAAACCCAATACTCCCAAAACATCTGTAACCTCGTATCGTCCCATATCGCTCAACCCTTGTCTTTCGAAGGTGCTAGACAAAATCATAGCAAACCGACTCTGGTGGCTTGCAATAAACTGCAAACTCCTCGATAGTCGACAGCTCAGTTTTCGAAAGGGCATGTCCGTATCTGAATGCCTAACTCTGCTAGACTACCGGACTACCGCAGCCCTATCAACCAGAAGCCACATTTCAATTATTAGTCTCGACTTCGAAAAAGCTTACGACAAAATAGGAATTCACGCAATAATAGACGAGTTACAGGGATGGAAAATCGGACCAAAATTGTTGAATTACGTAAAGAACTTCCTAACCAATCGCAAGATAAAAGTCAAGGTGAGCAACTCTTTTTCTGAAGACAGACCACTGTACAATGGGATCCCTCAAGGCTCACCACTGTCCGTAATTCTCCGCACCATTGAAGTCCATAGGGGATTCAAATTCTTTTCCTATGCAGACGACTTCACTATACTGAAGAAAATTCATAAAAATGTAAACACAATGTCTATAAACAGCCTATTCACAGACATATTAAGCTGGTGTGACTATTCAGGAGCGAAACTCTCTGTGCAAAAATGCAAACATCTGCATATCTGCCGGAAACATAGGTGTAATTTTACAATCACATCACAAGCATACCCTATTAACCAAGCTAATTCCCTTAAAATCCTTGGCCTTACCATATCAAGTAGGTACAGGTGGAAAGATCACATAGACACTCTGGCAGTAGAACTATCAAAAAGACTCAACATAATTAAATGGTTAGGCAATCGTAGATACAACTGCGACACCAGATCTTTTATAAATACAATAAACGCTCTCTTAATGTCCAAGATTGACTACTGTCTCCCATTTTATGGGAATTGCCCTCTCTCTTGTCTAAGAAAACTCAAAACTATCTACCATGCAGCTTTAAGACTTGCTTTTGGAGCACCACGCACAACTCCAATCAATAACCTTCTTATTGAATCCGATATTACACCTATCGAGATTAGAATTGAGCTGACCACTGCGCGGATTTGTAAGGTTTTCTCATTCGCCAAAAATACGCCACTTCAAACCGTCCTTCAAAAGATAAAGAACGCCAAAAGAACACCCAGAATCCCTTCAATCCTACATAAAGCGTCAGAATTCGTTCTCGAAAATGGAATAAACAGCACTTCAGTTAAATTAAGGAAACAGAAACACCCACCATGGTCCTTCTCAGAAGATAAAATAGACACTACATTACACAACTAAATCGAATACTCCTGCAACTGTTTTCCAAACAAAATTCCTCTTCCTTAAAGAACTCTACAATAACTACGCATTCATATACACAGATGGATCCAAGTCTGGACACGGAGTATCTTATAGCATCACTACGGACACACGCATCATTAAAGCAGCACTCCTACCAGCACATAGCTCTATCTTCACGGCAGAAGTGGCAGCTATTTATGCAGCGTGCGATTACGCTGTATCACAAAAGAAGAGATTCGTCATTTGCTCGGACTCACTATCGTCACTGCAATCAGTAGCCAACATAAGCAACCAATCCTTCTACACCGCTCGAATCAGAGATATTCTCAACAGCCATCAGTCGTACATAAAATTATTGTGGATCCCAGGACACACAAACATAACTGGAAACGACACAGCTGCCAAGGAAGCTCACTTATTTCCACACCTCTACGAAAACAATTACAACTACAAGGACACACAATTATTTATCAAACAGAAATTCAAAAAACAATTCGCATCTCTATGGGAAAATACTTCAGACCACTATAAACTTATAAGCCCCAACAAACTATCTCTAAAAAATTACAACATTAAAGCAAACGATATTAATCGCCAAGACTTGGTTAAGTTTTCAAGACTAAGGCTGGGACACTCCAAGCTCACGCACGAACACATGATAAACAAACAAGCAGCACCGCAATGTGAGCGCTGCAACACATCAATTACCATCAAGCACATTCTCCTAGAATGTCCTCTCTTTCTATCGGAAAGAAACAAATTCCTACCCTCAAACCCGTCAGAACTCCTTACCCCCAACACCCCCAATTTCATAGCTTCCATGAATTTCTTAAAGGCAATAAAATTATACCATGTAATTTAAAACCTAGACATAGTCTATATGTAAAAATGTAAATTATATATAACAAACGTAGCTTAAGGCCACAGTAGCTATAACTACAATGAAAAGCATAGGCTATAGGTAATTTCTCAATTGCCTTTTAGTCTGAGAATAAATAAATAAATAAATAATCAACATCGATGACTTTTACCCCTATCCAATCAGTCTGCCTTAGACGAAGATCGAACGGAACCGCACAAACGAAATACAAAACTGGCGCAGAAAAACACTTGATAAAGAAGCCTTACGAGGAATTCAGTTTCAATCGGAATTACCAGTTGTTCGCAGGTCATGTCGAAATACGAAGTTTACAGAATTCCTCATCTGGGTACTAAAAGTTATTATATATCTACCGCAAAACAAGTTGGCAGTCTCTGATCCTGACATTGGGCTGTAACTCCCAATTGCGTTTACTTGTGTATGCTGATAACCCCGTTAAGTTTCCCAGTCATTACACGACACTCAGTAGCAGAGAATTCACCTAATTATGTACATAACTGGAATTTAGGAAATGCTTTCGGCTATTTTCGTCAGTACTCTTGAATGGTCGTGTTTAATTTGTAGATATAGTTACATGAATATTCACGAATAGCGATTGCGGTTAAAAGTACAAATAAATAAAGGCTTTTATAATAGCTTTTTAAGATACATAATAAAAAATTTATCCCGCATAAATACTGTGGAGTGGAAATGTAGTTTATGTAAACATTCTACACAGTCACAATTCATCTACTATAATTTTTGCATTCGTTTTGCTCATTTTCCATCGTCCAATAATGATCAAGGATGTCTTCGCTTGTGAAGCGAACGTTTGGATCTGACTGCAGCATATTGGCGATCAAATCACGTACGCCGTCACCTACATCGGACCAGTATGGATCTGGAAACTCGTAAATGCCCGATATAATGGCGTCAAAGAGTGGTTCCTGTTGATTGTCGGGCGCCACAAACGGTGGAAACCCGCACAGTAGTATGTACAAAATGATCCCAGCGGCCCACACGTCGATCTTTTGGATGCAAAAACGGGAATATTTAACTTACTTTATGACGATTTAGTTTAGTTTCTCACCTTTAAGCCATATCCGACTTCTAACAATATCTCTGGCGCGACATAGGTGGGGGTACCACAAACGGCAAAAAGAAGATCGTTTACCTCGCATGCTAATCCAAAATCAGCGAGTTTTAGTTCAAGGACGTTTCCATGTTCATCTAGTTCTACCTGTAATGTGAATGGTTTTAATCATTATCTGTATAACAGATGATTAATACAAATTACAAGGCTCCTACCAGGAGGTTCTCAGGCTTAATATCTCTGTGCACAATGCCCATTGAATGCAGGTATGACATGGCTGACGCCAAATGCCTTATCATAATTCGCGATTGACTTTCTGAGAAACGAGTGGCCTGAGTTATTGCATCGAACAGATCGCCACCTAGAATAATAAAACTACTTGTTTTAGCTGGTAGAAACTGTACAGCAATCAACGCTTACCACTTACATACTCCAGTACAAGATACATATTTGAATGTTTGTCCACATTCATTATAAGTGATATTATATTCGGATGATCCAACTTTTTCATGACTCGTACTTCAGCATCAATGTAGTGCTCCTTGCCCTTGCATTTGTTTTTATCAATTATTTTCAAGGCATATAAATTTCCCGTTTGACGGTGCATGATCTTTAGGACAATGGCAAAGTTCCCATCGCCGATAATTTGTCCCAACGTGTAACTGTCCCTTATATCTACTGGCAAATCATCGAGCTCTATGCCAGGGTTTTTAAGTAAAGCAGCCTCTCTTTGCTCATCGGGCGCGGGAGCTGCTTTAAATTCCTCCGAATCCACCAACGGGGGATAAGCCTTTTTGCTCTTGATAGGCATCTTGGGCTTGGGTCCCTTGTAGGTGGTCCCTGCCGTCCGCAGGGTCTTGCGTATGACATTAATAGCACGCTGCTCCTCCGCTTCCAACTTAAAATCCTCCGCAGTGTTGATTCTCTCTGTCCCATATGCAAAGAAAATATCATCCGGTCCAAAAAAATCAGCGAGTTGAACCACCGATATACCTGAAAGGGTAAATACCTTTCTAACATATCCCGTATCTAGGCGAACCACTTGGGTAATGGCGGTCAGAACGTGTTCGAAGCTTGGACTGTTACGCTTGTTCAACAACAAACGCATAATGTGGCGGGGCTTAGTACCATTACGTATCAGCGTAACTATACGAGGATGAACCACAGTGTCACGGTTGATAAGACGGGACGCGTTCAACGGAATCCTATTGTCCGGTCCTCCGCCACATACTGTAATTGGTCCATTGCTAATTGCTAATGATCCATTTTTTAAGGGAGAGGCGGGTCTATAATTTTTCGCCAATCGCTGATTATTTGATCGACTGTTGTTGGACAACGTCAAATTAACCAAAGGCTGGGAGCCAGTGTTGTATTCCACCTTCTTAAATTGCTCGTTATTGCAGGAACAAACGTAACTCTGACCGTCCTCCAACTCATCGAGAGTGTTTATCTAAAAAAGCAAAAGCATGAGACTATATGAGTGTAAAGGCAACACCGAGGAGTACGCACCTTTTTCCCACACATGCTGTATATTGTGCGAACAGCCCCAGGTATCTTTACACTCTCCTCAAGCAACCGGGTTAAGTCTTCATAAAGACTCTCGAAGGATCGGTACCGTTCATTGGAGACAGGTATTGTTATGCCGGAATAGAAACGATCCCCATTGCGGAAGAATTTGATACGATGCGCTTTGCGTGCCGGAGTTCGGCTGCTCGAGATACGCTTCTTAATTTGGACGACGGCGGGTGCAACTGTCAAGGATGCCATCGCACTAGCAGAGCTCATCGTAACACCACTTTCCATTGTTTTGGTTCCGGGCGTGGCTGACGTGGTTGAGGAGTCGCCACTTAACGAGCCATTCCTTTTTCCCACACTTTTATTGCCTGTTAAAGAACCGTGCCAGTTCTTAAGTTCATTATACTCCTTTTCCAGCTCACAGGTTGAACTATGGTTCAGGCGTTCAATGATAGTAGCCTCGGAGACAGCATTGTTGGAAATATTCTTCTTTGATGTGACCTTGGGCGAGGCAGGTGCAGATGTCGAAGCTTTGAGGGAGGAAAGCTCCGTGACAGTGCAATGTAGGCTGTTCACCGTCACTGTATGGACTTCCATACTGAAGAAAAACGGAAAAGAAGTTAAATACTCAATAGAGCTTGGTCAGATAAAGCAATGTACTGCTCTCTCTTCTTTTTGTATGATCTCTGGACTGCGTGTTAAAGGCATTGTTAAATAATTAAAGAAATAAAAAAAGTATAAAATCCAACTAAAATAAAAATTTAATCAAAGTGTTGGTAAATAGTATCAAAATTACTTGGGCCATGCTACAATTATTTTAGTTAATTAGAAGAACACAAAAAATGGATTTTAGTTTTATATAGATCTCTTTAGTAGTAATATAGCACGTCAGAGTTTTATACATTAAAAAATCAAAACTTCAAGATGAAGCAGGAATAAAACTGAACACAACAAAAACAATCTAGCTAGGTCCGATAGATATTTCGAAACTAAAAGTCTTCAATAGCTATATAACTAGAATGATATTACCGTCTATCCAAATTAACAAAGATGTTGGGTTTCTCTGAGTCAAGACACACTATGTTACGAACTTCCCATTTATCTGTATTGTTTTTGTTGTTATAGCAACTGGTAGAAGTCCACCCAACCTTGACCATTTTTTGCGGGCTTACAATAACACATATATTTATATTTAATGGTCCTTCAATTCAAGGTCGCCTTCTTGCTAATACCCTACAACATTTCCGTTCGACATGACTCTTTTTGTAATAAGTTAGCAGTTGTACATTTTAAATCTGTACATTTTATTCATAATATGATCAGTACAAACAAGTGGCCCTACGACACCAAGCAATGCTTGTTACGCGCGAAACCCTTCACCGTTTTGGGCGAGTAAACAAAATCGCGGACAAAGAAAAAGACAATATTCGATCTATTGTTAGAAAATTAAAAATACGGGTCAAAATACGAGTAGACAAGATACATAAAGTAAAACTAATTAGTTACTAGGTAGGATAGTATTATTGATTTAAAGATAGGAAGTGAGGCGGTAGTAGATATAAGGTGATATAGTCGATTACATTCATTGCAAAGTATATGCATTGCATAATTAGAGATACAGTGAGATATACTAAAGGAATTGTTTCTAGTGAATCTATTTGGCGTATTAAAATGTAAGTAACTGGGGACTCTCCACATCACCATGAATAAGATTCCTAATAAACGTAATACCAAGCATAGTTCCACGGTTAGCTAATGATGGTAAGTAGGATGGTAGTATTAGGCTAGTATCCCAGTTGAGTCTCCGTAAGGCAAATATTAAGAAGTGTTTTTGCACAGACTCAATCCGGTCTGTATGCACCCCTTGTTGGGGACTCCCAGCAGAAGCTCAGTACTCAAGAATTGGTCGAACTAATGAAATAAACAATCTCTTTGCGACATAGGGATCATCGAATTCCTTCGACCTTTTGATAAATGCAAGCACGCCCCTGGCTTTACTTACCATAGGAGTAATGTGATCAGAAAATTTAAGTTTGGGATCCATATAGACTCCAAGGTCGTCAGCATGCGTTATCCTATCTAACACACAACCACTCAAAGTATTAGTTTAACAGTGAGGGCTGACACGAAAAAAGGTCATTAGTTTACACTTGGAACCATTTAAATTTAATTCATTGTCCATGCACCATGTTATAAATACATTGAGATCAGATTGCAACGCTCAACTTTGTGCGGGGTCAATATTTTGCAGGCACAACTTCACGTCATCTGCGTACATAAGTACACGTGACTTCGTTAAGACTAATGGAAGGTCATTTATAAATAAATCAAACCGTGTTGACAAGAGGAAAGAAGAGACCTACAACTGTGTTGTAAATGGGGTGTTATAATGTTCTTCTTTTTTATGAAGCGGGATAACAAACGACTCCTTCCATTTGTGTGGGAAATCGGACGTTTCTAAAGACAAAGTAAAAAGTTTGTGCAATGGTCTGCACAAAGTCTCAGCGCAATACCTAAGCACACATCCAGGGACTCCGTCAGGACCCGGAGAGTAGACTGGTTTGACCCTTTGCAAATCTAAAAGAAGTGAGCTTTCACTTATAACAGGGCGAAAAATAAAGTTTGGTTTAGGCATGTCACATCAAGTCCTCCAGATCAGTCTCACCTGGAGGACTTGATGTTAAATAGGTAAACCACCTGTGCAAAAAGATCTGATCAGTGTTTGCTTCCGAATTTTCACATTTAAGTGATGATGGGTAACTAGAAGATTTAGGCTTTGTGTAACAAAATTATAAAAATGTTTTGGATCCAGTGTAAACTAGGTCTTGCAACAAGCCTAATAGTTTTTATAACACTGGGCGTTAAAATCAGACCAAGCACTTAAGTATCGGGAAAAGTCAGCTTGTTAAGCTCTTAATTTTATGTAGAGTCTAGACTTTACATTTTTAAGTCGTGCCAGCTCTTTGTTAAACCACGGGGGTTGGTTTGAAATTTTAGGATAATACGTATGAACGCATGTATCAAAAACTTCGTTTAATACGTTATAAAATATATTAACCGCTTCATTTATATTAGTACATAAGTACAGATTGGACCAATCCGAGCAAGCTATAAGGCTATTAATGAGTACAAAGTTCGCTCTACGAAAGCACGGGATGCGTTTAGCTGACTTTTCAGATAGTTCATACACTTTAGTACAAGTGTCAATAGTCAGCTCTAGCGTTGGGTGATATGGGTCTTCTGGTAAAGTAATTTCAGAGGTTCTAGCTATGCAGACACAATCTGGACTGGAAACAAAGCATAGATAAAACATGATTTACTTGAGACAATGAAATATCAAGCAAACCGTCAAGAAAATCATGCTGCGTTGAAGGTAACAATATATTTGAGGTTTCGACTGTGGACCATGTCGCCTTGGTATATTAAAGTCACCTAAAACTATTAACTGATCCCTATCTGATAGTTTACTTGAAATAAACTGGATAGCGGACAAACTATTCGCATATATTGGGAATTCAGATGACGGCGGAATATATGAACATGTTATGTATATAGAAATACCCGGAAGGGATAGTTTTAGTTTTTTTCAATGTCATTTATTTCGTCGGACGTTATTACTTCAGACGTTAATTTGGAGTCAACTGCAATTAAAACTCCACCTCCACGTCGGGACGGACGATCAAGCCTGTAAGTTGTGTACTTACTTGCAAAAATTTCGGAACTTAGAATTTCCGGTTTTAACTAGGTTTCTGTAAACACAATAACATGGGAAGATAAGGAAAAACTATCAGTATACAATTTAATCAACTTATTTTGTAAACTTCTTGTATTCTGATAGGAACGCTTGTAGGGGTGTGAAATTATTAGGAAAAGATTCTTGTATTTTTTTAAAATATAAAAGAGCGCTACTGGTTCCGCAACCTGGTGGCAACCACACATCCTAGAAAATACTAAACGATAATTTCGTATTTTCTAACACTGCTTGTCAGAGGGCTTGCACCCGCCATTTGCGTTTTTTCGTTCTCTTATTTCTGATCTTTCGGCCAAAGCACACGCGTTTTAAATCAAATCGAATTTTGCAAAGAAGTGCTAAGTCCACGTGTGTATATATATATGCACCATATCGGGCTTAATAACCGCCCAACAAGACAAAAGACTAATAAGTAAACCACCACAAAGCTATTTCCAAACGCCCAAAGTGGCTGGCGTAATTTAGCTGGCACCGATCGCAACATCCAACTTATAGTTGAAAAACTAATTAGGTGAGCATAGGGAATTTAATATTTTTCAATAATTGTGTACTAATGGATAAACGAAAGTAGGAGTGCGCAGCGCTATTTGATCAAATCGCCTGGTGCTCGTTTTGGCCCACTCTGGCTGCCAACACGTGGAGCGGGACTACTCGAGCCGAGCCACATACAGTTTACCAGTGCAAATTTAAGTTTCGAGCCAAGCTTTCCAACCGTTGTAAGACGAAGGAAAACTTAAGGTAAATAAAAGTAAACCCAGCCTTGACCAGTTAGTTTTTATGTTTGCCTTTCCTAGATTGATACACGTGTTGTTCGCCATATTCTCCTGACCAGTTGCGAGTAACCTAACCCCGGACTGATGGTTAGCCATCGACACGTCCAACACGAGCGTATCACGGATAAGCAGACACCCGGGACTCTTGTTCTAGCTGTTGAATCTGCCGCCTCGCAGCTAAGGATTCACTCCCGATCTCGGCAGCCGATCTGACTGTTGCATCGCTTTTGTAGTTTTTAGAATAGATTTAAATTTTATAGAAATTAAGCTTATTACACGGGTACAGTATGTATATTTGGACTTAGATTGACTGTTAACTAATAATACTTTGTAGCTCACTCAGCATACACACATCCTCGTTTACACACACCGTCCACAGGCCTGTCGACTGCACTGGAAACAGATTTAAAGTATTCATGTTGTAAGTACGGCATAGCCGACCGTCTGTTAACATCAATCTGAGCCAAGTAATATAACTATTGAATAACTATAGATTCAAGTTTCGACACCCGTGCTATTTTGTTGAAGACTACCTTTTTTCTTTTTAAAACTTAATTGTTAACGTAAATTTTTGAATGAAGAACATAAATGAAGTCATTTATACCCATTATATGGTTAATCTGCCATGGGCAAGCTAACGTTAAGAAAATCATAAGCAGCCGCCATGGGCAACTTATCTTTAATTGAATTTTGGTACGTATTTGAGAATGAAGTATAAAATGAAGTGAATTTGTTTGCGAATTGGGACACCTGAAGTAACTGTGCATCAGTAATAAGGGCATTGACCACATACGCAAAGCGAGCCTATGCAAGGTTGGGTGGGTTTTTTGAAGAGGAATTAAAGGACATCTGCCATTCCTCACACTTAGTATAAAATTAGATTCTTTGAGCTTTGGTTTAGTTATTCAATACCCTACTCTGTCTACTATTTAAGTTTATGTGACGGCGCGGTTCTCTAGGTAGCAAAACCCCACTCCCATTTTCCCTGAGCACAGCCGACACTGTAGGCAGAGTACGCTGCCAGATAGCCGCACACATTGCCGTGTTCGTTAAATATTCTTTGGCGCCCAACGT